TATTGTGAATGTGCATGACTCGTTCCCAATGTCAAGTTTACATTCATAATTCAAGTCCACAGCTGTTTAAAAATAAAAGACAGGAGAGGAGAAACTACAAAAGAAAAAAGCCCCAAACCATTAAAAAAATAGGTGGAGTCCCTTGGCCAGCCTGTTGTTTTTGCCAGTGAAAGAGCTTTTGCCAGTGCCAGGCAAGCACACTCATGAATAAAGCAGCTGAGTGAATCTACACGAGCTGGGGAGAGAATGAATTTTTTATCAAGGAGCCCTGTTAGCATATTTACTATTGATTTATTGGATGGAGGCATAAAACATCAGCACTTTTGCTTTTGCCTTCTCCCCAGCTCTGTAAGGGGAGAAACAAAGGGGAAGGATTTGCTTCTATTGAAAGTTGGCTGAATTAACGTTGTGATTGCATGTCGTGATGGGAGTTAAAACTGCTCCTACACAGCCAGTGGTATTGGAGCAAAATTAAAATGCTGCCAGCTTTCAAGGATTTTACCAAGAGCCTGCTGGTATTTTGGGTTGTTTTTTTTTTATGAGTCCCATGGAAGAGGTTAGAAGGGTGTCTGTAGGGATTTGGGTTAGGCTTAGCATGGTGGGTGCACCCTGATACAAATGCCAGGGCAGGGGGTGGAAGCAGCTGGGAGCTGAGCAGAGGTTGGGTAGAGGGAGCCATGGCAGCTGGGCTTGTTGGGAAGAGCACTCCAGGGGCCTGAGAGCTTGTATGGGCTTTAAATGCATGAGGCACAGATCTCTGGGTCTCCACTGTGACCCCAAAAGTGTCCCTTAGATGTCTCAGAGGGAACTGTGCAGCACCTTTCTCTGGGAGAACTGGGCTGTCAAGTTTAATCATCAATCCCAATGCTCGAGGTGCTCCCGGAGCCAGGCTTGGTGTGGGCACAGCTCAGGGGGTGCTGCTGAAGGCCCTGCTGCTCTTTCTAACCCAGAAGGCTCAGGAGCAGTGAAAGAGCCCTCAGTGAACTTCTGGATGTAACTCTGGCACGTCACATCCAGCGTTTCATTCCTCCTGCCTCCTTCTCGGGTTAGACCTGCGGTCAGGCTCAAGTGACCCTGAGAGCCAGCCAGGCCTTAATGTTTGAGCTGGAACAGAAAAATTGATTTGATCTCTTGTCTTGTGCTGCTTAATGAGCCAGCCTGGAGCTGGGCCACAGCCCAAACCCTGGTGGCTCTGTGGATGGAGGGCTCAGGGCAGGCAGAGCTTTTGCCTGGTGTTTGTCGCTGTCTCCAAAGTCTGGCTCGTCCTGGCTGGTTGTGAGCGAGGCAGAGCAAACACAGCAAGTCCCTGCCCTGCCCTGAGCACAAGGCAACCCAGCAAAGGCTCAGAGAAGGCTGGTTAATCAGCTGCATTTCAGCACATTTCGTTTTTTAGGGGCTTTGCTGGTGGCATGGAGCTGTGGATCTGTCACCAAGTTTGGGCTTCAAATGAATAAATAAACGACAAACGATCCTTTGGCAGCGACGAACCTGCTGCACTCCCTTTGCAGGCTTATGTGGTTTCTCTTCTCCCATCTGTTCCTTCCTCCAGCTCCTCCTCATGGGCTGGATCTGCATCTCCCCTAGCCTGGCTGACAGCAATTCCAGGCCTCATAGAACCATGGAATATCCTGAGCTGGAAGGGACCCACGAGGATCAGTCCTCACTGAGTGGGATCCACTTGCTCCAACTGGAGATGTTTGGTTGACAGGATGGGAACTGAAGAAGAGCCTCCAAATATAAAACCTGGCTTTGCTCTGGTAATCCCAGGACAGCAGTCCCAGGCACTTCCCCCTTTTCTCTGTTGGGAAATACCTGGAATTTACTTCCTCCCTCTCATCGTCGCTGGCTCTTTCTTCCCTCATGTGTTGGGGAAGAGGGGTAGGATGAATGTCCTTGTATCCTCCAAACCCACCCGTGGAGGGCAGGGGAACAGGGAAAGGAAAGAGCTGATAGCAAAGAGAGAGGAATGGAAAAACAAAACAGGGAATGAAGAACTGGCACTGCTGGGCTGGGATAGAGCTTGTGGGTTCCTTCCAACTCAGACTTCTGTGACTCACCTCAAAAGACAGAGGAAGACAGGGATTGCAAAAGGCTTTCAAAACCAAAATGGGAGATCAGGCTGCTCCTGTGTTCCTGCTCCCATTCTCCCTGTGTTCTTACTCCTTTTTTCCCTGCATTCCTACTCCTGTTTTCTCTGTGTTCCTACTCCCACTTTTCCTGTGTTTCCTACTCCCATTTTCCCTGTGTTCCTACTCCCATCTTCCATGCTCCTACCCCCATTTCCTCTGTGTTCCCACTCCCGTTTCCCGTGTTCCTAATCTCATTTTCCCTGTTTTCCTACTCTTATTTTCCCTGTATTCCTACTCCCATTCTCCCTCTGTTCCTACTCCCATTCTCCTCTCCTGTTTTCTCCTCAGCCTCTCCCATGCTGGGTTTGCCTGGAGCAGGGCTGGTCTGTGGAGGGGTTGGTTGCTCCTCTCAGCTGAGTCACTGATCAACTGACACAGATATTTCTGAAGATGTTGGGCTATTTGGAGAAGTGCTCGTCACGTGTTGGATCCAGAGCCCGTTCCTTGAGGAAGGATTTATGCAGACATGGAGCATATCAGTTATCCCAGGGGGTATTTACTTGCAGCAGGGCTCTAAGTATTATTACCTGTGGGAAATGCTCTGAAACACCACACTTTGGCTTGTTCATTGGGTGACTCCTTCTGCAGAGACACTCGAGGTGGCATCAGGTCCACGCCTGGCTGAAATAAAATGCTCTGAAATGCTCTTTTTCCAAGCAAATTTGCTCTTGCAGATATGCTTGGGAACAGTGACCAAAAAGCACCCCAGATAACAAGAAAAAGGCCCCAGTATAAGTTGGAATTAATGCATTTTGTGCCCGTTGGTGTCTGAGAGCCCCTCTGTGGGAGCTCTGCCTTTGGGCAGCAGGGTGAGCTTGGTGATCCTGTTTACAGGAGGAGGAGGAGAATTTGTGTCTTTACTTTCATTTTTTTTCCTTTTCCCCCCCCTTTTCCCCTTTATTTTAATTTTTCCTTTTCCTTTTGGGTTTTTACTTTCCTTTTTACTTTTCCTTTAACTTTCTTTGGGTCTTTCCTCTTTATCTTTTTTTCCCCTTTTTTCCTTTTTTTTTTCCTTTTTTTTCCCTTTTTTTTTTTTTTTTTTTTTATCCCCTTCCTCCTTTTTCCCCTTTTTCCTCCTTTTTCCCTTTCCCCCCTTTTTTTCCCCTTTTCCCCTTTCCTCTTTTCTTTTTGGGTTTTCACCTCCCTTCTCCTTTTCCGTTCTTTGAGCCTTTCCTTCCCTTTTCCCTCGTTTCTCATTCCCTTCCTTCACCCCGGATTCTCCACTCGAAAGAGAGGAATTTGCATTTCCCTGAGCACTCAGTAAATGCCCACGTGGCATTTCACTTCTCAGCAGTTCCCTGAAGAGCTCCCTGGTGGTCGATGAATGCGGGGAAACTTTGTCACACCCTAAAACACCCTCCCCTCCCTCCTCACCGGTGCTTACTCAGGGAGCAAGGATGGCTGTTTGGTGACAGGAAAGTGCTGAGTAAGCAGCTGTGGAGCTGCAATCCCCGGGAACACTCCTGGTTTCCTTGCAGACTCCTTGTCTGTGTGTGCAGATTCCGGGCACGGTGCCACCCTGGCCTTAATTGCAGCCCAGATGAAGGGAGGGCCGTGGTTCCCTCCTGCTGCTGCCTCAGTTCACATGGAAATGCGATGCCGACGCTCAGCACACGGGCAAGGGTTGAGATGGGGAGAGGAGAGGCTGCTGGAAAAGCCTGCCCAGAGTTAGATCACCTACAAATGCCTCTTGGGCCCGGAGCGGGGTCAGCCTGGAGCTGTGGAACTCCCAGAACCGTGGAATCATTTGGGTTGGAAAAGGCCTGTAAGGTCATCGAGTCCAACCATTCCCCAGCCCTGCCCAGGCCACCCCTAACCCAAGTGCCACAGCCACATGTGGCATCTTTTAAATCCCTCCAGGGATGGTGATCCCACCCCTGCCCTGGGCAGCTGTGCCAGGGCTTGATGAGCCTTTCCATGAAGAAATTCCTCCTGATGTCCAACCTGACCCTCCCCTGGTGCAGCTTGAGGCTGTTTGCTGTTGTTTTATTTCCTGTTACTGGGGAGCAGAGACCAACAACCCCCAGCTCCCCCCTCCTGTCAGGGAGTTGCAGAGCCAGAAGGTCCCCCCTGAGCCTCCTTTTCTCCAGGCTGAGCCCCCCCAGCTCCCTCAGCCCCTCCTGCTGCTCCAGCCCCTTCCCAGCTCCGTTCCCTTCCCTGGACACGCTCCAGCCCCTCAGTGTCTTTCTTGTTATGAGGTGCCCAAAACTGAACCCAGCACTGGAGGTGCCCCAGCAGTGCCCTCACCAGTGGGACAGGCATTGCCCTGGGCCCGTGCCCCCCCTATTTCTGGCACAGCCCAGGGGCCATTGGCCTCTTACCCACCTGGCCACACCTGGGCTCACCTTCAGTGGCCGTCACCAGCACACCCAGAGCCTTTTCCAACGTTCCAACCCCTCTGCCCCAGCCTGGAGCGTTCCATGCTGTTGTTGTGACCCAAGGGCAGGACCCAGCACTTGGTCCTGCTGCCCCTCACCCTGCTGACCTCACTCAACCCACAGATTCAGACTGCCCAGATCCCTCTGCAGAGCCCTCCTGCCCTCCAGCACATCCACATCCCACCCAACCTGGTGTCATCTGCAAACTGACTGAGGGAGCATCCCCTTATCCACGTCATGTCCAGAGCCATCAGATGAATCTTCTCACTGGAGCCGATGACAAATCGTGCTGTGGGTGGTGGGACAATCAGCTTGGTTCATCAGTTCTTTTGCTGGCCTTTCAGCTGCTGAACACAACAGAACTAACCATCAGGGGTGGATGAGCCACGGAAATCCAAGGGGAATCTCCTCTGCCCTGCAGGTTCTGTGTGGTATTTTGTTTCTGAGGTGAATTAATATTTGGTTTTGTCTCTCCCTTTTTCTTTGTTTCCAGACAAATGATGCTGCAGGAAATACCTGGAATTGGCTTTACTTCATCCCTCTCATCATCATTGGCTCTTTCTTCATGCTCAACTTGGTGCTGGGCGTCTTATCAGGGTAAGAAGAACACCAATGACTTGTTTGTCCCCACCTGGATGTGAAAAGGGAAGATGTGTTGGTTTTAGTGAGTAGATGTAACTGGGAGAGCTGGGTGATACATCCCACTGTGCATTGTCCCCCTTCCCACTTTTCCTACCCTGCATGCAGTGGGATATTTCTATAAGACTGTAGAACCTTGGGATGGGGATAGGCTGGTGAATAATCACCACTTGAGAGGATTCTGAACCCAGACCCAAGAGCTGAGTGAACTCCCTGTAATTCCACTGACCTGGGCCTGTGCAGCCAACACTCCTGTGCCACCTTGAAACCCCACCAGGAACCCACTGGTGCCAAAATAATGCTGGAACTGGACATGGAAGTGTGGATAATGCACTTGGTGTAACTGTACAGCACAAGGGGAGGGGAAGCTCAAACTAAGGGAAGCTGAAAGATCTCAGGGGTTTGTTTGGCTGTGTTTTTTTCTGTTTTGGTTGTTTGTTTGTTTTGTTTGTGGGTTGTTTTGTTTTGTTTTGTTTTGTGTTGATGTTTTGTGGGTTTTGTTTTATTTGTTTAATCTCTCCCTGTTTAAGCCAATGTCTGGATTCTGGGGACCCACGGTCTCCTGATGTTCCAAACCCCAGGGGTCAGCCGAGGTTTTGGTGTTGTTGCATCTGAGTTTTGGGTTTGGACCGTTGCAGGAATTGAGCTGCCAAGCCTGAAGCTGAGCTGGAACGTCCCCAGCATGTGGGGAAATTTGATCTGGCATTAACAACCTGCCTCATCTCAGTGGTTTGCAGGCTCCTGAGCTCTGGCACCTCATTTTGCACAGCATTTCTTCTTAGATCAAGCAGGTGATTGAGACTCTATAGATGTATAAAGATTTAGATTTTTTTTTTTTCTGGCTCTTGGCAGCAGAGGAAGAAAAAAAGACTTGTTGCTGCTGTGTGGTAAAAGCCTTTCAGTGCTGCACCTTTGCTCCTCCTTTTTAAAGCTACCAGAGAAGAAAAAGTGTTTTCCAAAGCAGATATTAATGCAAAATGGTGCTATTTTGTAATTATTTTGGTCCTCAAAGCGCACAGCGTGGCAGGAGCAGGGAGGCAGCAATGCTGCTCATTCTTCTGTCACACTGGGGTCAGCCCACGGTGACTGGAATGATCCATGGGATTTAAAACTCCTGTTCCTTCGTGCTGGATTCCAATGTGTTTGGTGTGAGCAAAAGGCAGAGACCCTTGTCTGACTCTCCTGAAAGCCTCTTGCTGCTCAGGGCAAAATATGAATATTAGATAAGTATGAATCTGCTCTTAAAAATGCAGTTCTGGGCACCGGGTCTGCCTTTGGTCGTGGTGAGGAGGAGATTTTCTTCTTCACAGAGGGAAGCTTTTAATTTCTGTTTGGCAGAGTGGATTGATTGATGGCCTTGCCTGGAATAATTCCTGGGGAGAGGCTGAAGGGAATAAACATCCCAGCTCAGGGGTGAGCACAGAGCTCAGCAGGCTCTTGGTGGGCCTGAAGCTACTGGGCAGGGAAGGAAAGTGAGGATAAAAACCCCTTCCCTGTGAGGGTGGTGAGGGCCTGGCATAGGTTGCCCAGAGAAGCTGGGCTTTTCCTTTTTTATCTTTCAGTGATCCTCGTTTTTAATCTGTTTTTTCCTTGTATATTTTCCCACTCTGACCAATTTTCCCCTGTCAATGTGTGTCCTGTGGCTCCATATTCTGCAGCCAAAAGCCCCAGACAGAACCAGAGGGGAAAAAAAAAAAAAAGAAAAGAAAAGATGCATTTCTTCTGGAGGTTATTCTTTACAGGGGTTTCTTCATGGAGAAAGGATTGTTGGAAAATGCATGTTGGCTTCCATAGGGTCCAGTTTCACTCCAGGACACGGAAACACCCCCATCCCACTGGCAGTGTCAGCAGCAGAGACTCTTGGCAATACCCCACATTCCTGTTTCAACAGAACCAAGCTGATTTGGGGTTAGGGGTTCTCCAAACAGCCCATGAGCAGGGTTAACTCAGCTGCTTCTTGTTTTCATGATCTGTGCACCCCGGCCTTGAATGTCACTCTGCTGGATCCTGGGGGAATACTCTGCCCTCCTTCTCCACACATTCCAGAGAGGGAAGAGCAGGGAGAACCAGGGGATGTAACACCCCCAGGAAACCACTGCAAAGCTGAGGTCAGCTCACTAGTGTGATCTTCATTACTGTCCTCTTTCCCTGTTAGAATCATAAACTATCCTGAGCTGGAAGGGACCCACAGGAACCACTGAGTCCAACTTGTTGGCCAGGTTGTATTTGCTTTTCCAGCATTTTGCCCTGTCACCACGAGCAGCAAGGGGTTAAGCTCCAGCCTGGACCTTGGAAAGCCACAGGAAAAGGTTTTCACAGAATCACAGAATATGCTGAGTTGCAAGGGACCCACAAGGACCACCGAGTCCAGCTCCTATTTTTCAGTTGTTGTTTTTGAGCTGTTTTTCCTTGTGTATTTGTTCCTCAGTGAGTGAAGAGGAAGCTGCAAATTTCTGAAGCAGATGTACAGTTGCTATCACAGATTATGGCAATATAATTAATCACAGAATCACAGAACTGTTTGGGTTGGAAGGGACCTTAAAGCTCAACTAACTCCTTCCACCCCTGCCATGGGCAGGGACACCTTCCACTAGCCCAGCTTGCTCCAAGCCCTGTCCAGCCTGGCTAAATCTGAAATGACAAGAACTTATCGAGCTTCCTACCCGCACTGGATTGTAGACAGCTTTGCCATAAATCTGAAAGGAATGTTCTGCCTTCCTGTGGTTCTTTGTGAGCCCCTGTCAACACCTAACAGATACCTGAAATAACTGGGCTTAGCTCCTGGTTTTCTTTGTTTGAGCAGTGGAGGGAGATGGAGCCAGTTAAGATCCCCAGCCTCATCTGCTCACAAAATGTCAAAGAAGAGATGATACTATGATTTTGAAATAAAGAGCAAACAACCTCTCCCCTCTTCTGGAATTACAGGGCAGGACGAGAGGAAATGGCCTCAAGCTGTACCTGAGAGGTTTAGATCGGATATTAGGAGCACTATTTTCATGGAAAGGGATGGAAAGTATTGGAACAGGCTGCCCATGGAAGTGGTGGAGTCAGCACCCCTGGGAGGGTGAAAAAAAAATGTGGATGTGACACTTGAGGACACGGTTCAGTGGTGACCATGGGGGTGGTGCTGGTTGACAGCTGGACTCAGTGATCTTAAAGCTCTTTTCCAACTGTAATGATTCCACAATTCTGTGATTCTGTAATAAAAGCAAAGGCAGGGAAGTGACAGGGAGATGGGAAAGTGTTGGTGAAAACATATTATAAAAATGACCCCCAATCTCAGGCCACAGCTGATGTGACAGAGCCCTCAGCAGCTGACTAAAGCTGTGATTAGAAGCATGTTGGGTCCATAGCTCAGCTTCCATGAGCCTCTGGTGCTGTACAGAGTGTCCTCCTCGTGTGAGCTGATCAAAGCCCTGCCAGAGCTCTTGTTCTTGGTTAATAATTAACAGCCTCCCAGAACGGCTCTGCTTTCTGCTCCTCTCCACTCCCCGTGCAAGGGAACATCAAGTCTGAGTATCCAGACTTTCCCAGTGATCCAAGGAAATGTGGGGTTGTTGCAAACACCTCATCTCTGGGGGTGCAAGGGGGATGTTGGCCTGTCCATGTCCTTTCAGATGCTGCAGTGAGTGCTGTGCCTGCCCAGCCCAGTGCTGAAGGTGGGCTCTGACTGGGGAAACTGGGAGCAGATCCCCTTTGCCAGCTGGCACATCACAAGCAAATACAGGCTGTGCTGTTTTCCTGCAGGAATTGAGGGTTTTCCTGGAGTGCTGCCGTGGTCAGAGGGGCACGGGTGAGCTGCAATCGAGCTCCTAAAATCCAGCAGGGTTGTTTAGGGGAGATATGGGGTCTCCCAGCAGGACACAGCATCCCATGTGCTGTGGAGCAGTGGGTTGGTGTCCCTGGTGAGGGATTTTCCTCTCTATTCCTCCTTTACATTCCCCCTGCTTTCTGCTTCCCTTCTCTGGTGCTTCATTCCTCCATGAGTTGATAAAACCCAACAGAAACCAATAGAGCAGAAAAATACAGATTATTTTTCTTCTGGGGGAACTTTCCCTGATGTGAGAGCTCAGAACTGTTCAGGGCCAGGAGAGCAGAGGCAGGAGCAGAGATTTCTCTCCCTTTTGACACTCTGAACACTCAGACGGCTTGTTTGCTTCTCCTTGTGAACCACAGAGGTCTGTCCACTCAAACAGGATGAGCTGCTGCCCATCCATGTGCTGGGAAGCACCTTGGGGTGACTGCCTGAGCCTGACACCTCCCCAACCCAAAGAAAAACAAAGAAAAAAAGGAAAAGGGAAATGAAAGAAATCATTAAAAATCAGTGAAATGAGGAGATTAGACACTTGGGTGAAGCTCTGCCTAGCCATCCACCCACCCACCCACCCCAAAGGATGAACCAGGTCTCGGTCACACTACAAAGCTGCCCTAAACCATGACAATCCACACTTTTGGAACTACTAATCCAGTTCCAGAAAGCTGGGGCCCTTGGTTGCCAGAAACTGAGCTTGCATTTTGTCAGGTGTCCAGTTCAGCAGCAGTGAAAATGTTCAGGGATTTTTGTAGCCATAAAACATTTTTGCTTGAAACATCTTCTCATGTCGACTGCACCGGGTGTTTATTCCTATTAGATTTTTTGTGACCCGGGTGGCAATAAAGGCATCCATCACAGGGAATGCAGCCATTCCATGGCAAAAGATTGGCTGCCTCTGTTGGCACCATGGGAATGCTCTGAGTGCAAGTCGTGTCAGGAGCCACTGACCCCAGATGCCTTCCTGTATTCCTGACACACGGTGTCGTTGGCTTTGGGGATGTCGGGGGACGTGGCTTCAATTCTGACCAGAAAATGCCCTGTGATGGCCCTGATGAATTTTTAATGGAATAGTTTGCAGTGAGGGGGGAAAGACACCCCTGCTGTTTGAGAACTGCTGCCCAACACTCGGTTTGTTTCCTGCTTT